TCCTGTGTGGGATGCTGGGCGCAGCCCAGGCCCTCCTCCATCACAGGAGTGCCAGGGAACATGGGGTCTGCAGCAAGAGGGGCACATCTGCCATGCTCAGGACAACCACCATGGTTAGGACAGCCACCATGGGTCTTGCTGGCCAGGACTGGCTGTACATATGTTTTCTGGAAAAAAAGAGAGCCTGGATACCCAGGTTGCTGCTCGTAAAGATGTTGAGATACTGGAAAATGGGAAAGCACAGCCAGCCGTCCTATCAAAGAGCACTGCTGGGGGTGTGGGAAGGAAGCAAGGCCTCATTGCTTAGCAATTTGAAAGCACTCTCAAATCCTCACGGGGCAAAGCTGTTGCGCTGGTTTATTCATCCCAAGGGCTCTCTGGATGCCTTCCCAACCTAAATAATTTTCACCCATTTCCTTAATTCAGCTTGAGAAATGAGAACGGAGTGCCAGCATGCTTGCTCAGGGAGCAGATGACACTGGGTAGTGGCACAGCAGCACCGGAGCTGAGAGGAAGCTGCTAATGGCCTCTGATGAGCACCATCGTGATAATAATGAGGTTGGTGCCCTTTCACTCACCCAGAGAATCTTAGCAAAAGTATAATCCCCGCTAGTCAATGGGCGATCATTAAGTCATAAATAATAGAGTGTGATTGAAGGACAGCACCTTTCCTGTAATAAATCATGCAGAGATGCTCCTGGCCTGGGGGGTGGGGAGGGTCTCACTGCAGCTTCATGCTGTGCTGTGCTGCATCTCCCAGCTGTTAGCGTGGTCTGTGATTTACTGTACTCCCAAATCTCATTGCTGCATTCGCCTGCACTCACAGCAGGAGAATGTTCCACCATCACGGAGATCTGCCAGCACTGAGGAAGATGGAAGGAATGATGATGCACGTTGGATAACATTTTTGTGGGCATGGTGGGGATGAGTTAATGATTGGACTAGATGATCTTGGTGGTCTCATCCAACCTTAATGATTCTATGGTTCTATGACAGAGGGAGATGCTTTGTCCCAGCACCAGCCTAGTGCAAGGCAGGCAGTGTGTGTAGCATGTACAACATGTTGTAGGTTTTTTTTACAAGCTGCATTTGTATTCTGCTGGCCTCCATTGCTGCTGGACATATGGGGCAGTTGTGGTTCTTGCTGAGGCCCTAGGGCTGTAGCAGCCATCGTGGGGTTTAGTAACATTAAGTTCTGGGGCACTTTCCTTTTTCAGAGTGTTTCACATATGGATGCTGCTCAGCCTTAAGGTAAATCCCTGTGTTTATTAGAGGGAGTAAATCCTACTTAGCACTGGTTTGGATCACACTCTGTACACGGCTATGTTACGTGGTTGGGCCATTTTAAACCCAGATATTTCTAAACCCACTCAGCAAATAAGGAAACAAGCAACTGTCCAACTGCTTTAATTTTGTAATTAAATCTGTGTACTCATAGCACAGTAAATCTGATATGATCAGTCTCTCAAGCCTGCACAAAACCTGTGTTTTCATCAGGGAGCAGGAGCAGAACTGGATTTACACGTGAACCTGCTCAGCGCAGGGCTGGGTGAGCATCCCTACCAAGGGCATGGCAGCTCCTCTGTGCCAGCAGGCTGGAAAAGTCTTCAGGCCCAAAAAGGAGTTCATCTCTCTGCTGAAGTGGCATGTGTCACAACATGAGTTATTCAGGGATCGTATGCAGAAATGAAACAAATCTGTGTCACTTGTGCTCTCGTCTCCTTAAAGAAGAGGGTAAGAATGTGGAGATACGAAGGCTGCAGGTCCTTGTAAATGTCTTCAATTATCTCAGATCTTTGGCCAGTGCTTGGAGGGGCTGAAGCAGCTTAACATCTCTCCTCACTTGTGTGAGTGGCTTTGTTCACTGATGACTTTTCGTTTCACTGAATCCAAGAGATGTTGACATACATCTTTATTTTCTGCCTGTTAACTCTTCCGTGCAAGCTGCCAACCTTAGCATTAGCTTTCAACTTTATGGCTGACCCATTAAACATTGGATGAAACATCTCATCAGCTTGCATTACATTTTGAACTTAATAAATAGGAAAGGCATTACACAGATTCTGTCTGGCCATCTGGAGGAACAATGTTCCTTAGCTCAGCGAATGACTGTCTAATCCTCCCATATACAGTTTGGTTTTATTCCATTAAAATATAATGAGAAAAGACTACCATACCATTATGTGGTAGGACTAAATGGGATTTTTAGAGTAATCAATGAAAATGAGTAAAAAAGATAAAGATTTTCTTCAAAGAAAAATAGAGAAAATTGTCTCCTTGGGATTAAAGTATTGTAAAACCAAATTATTATAGCACAATCTTTACTCACTAAAAATACCCGTTTCATTTCCATAAATCTTTCCATTAAGAATCAAATGAAGTTTTTTTTTCATTTTAAAAATGTGAAGTATTAAATGAAATGCTCTGCTTTCAGCTGAGGATGCCACAGGGCTGCTGCCCGATGGTGTGGAGGATTTTCTCTCCCATCTCCAATAGTGACCCCAAAAACTTGGGTGTCTCCAAGGACAGGGAATCCACCACTTCTCTGGGCAACCTGTGCCACTGCTTCACTGCCCTCATTGTAAAAAAAACTTTTTCTTTACATCCAATCTAAATCTCCCCTCTTAGTCTGGAATCATTTCCTCTTGTCCTATCACAACAGACCCTGCTACAGACTGTTCTCCTTTTTCTTATAGCCCCCCTTTAGAAGGTTTGCTTCTTGCAATGCTGCTGTTTATTTCTAAGGAGGCACACTAAATCCTGGCAATTAGTGGACAATTGCTCTAGGCTTTCTTTTTCAGCAGAAGGAGAATATATTTCAGCTTGCTCCCCGGACAGTTGTTGGAGGAAAATGAGTCCTGCTAGTCATCGCCTCCCCCCAGCGCTGCTGCCCACCCAATTCATCAACCAGTCAAGCTGATATAATTAGGAATCCCAAAGTCAATAATCTGATAATCTTCAGTGAACAAGGCTTGTATGTAGGAGAAGTGATTCCAGGAAGTCTGCAGCTCAGATCCTCGGAGGAAAGATGCCAGATTTTAAAAAGGAAACAGGCAGAAAGCCGGAGGGGAGAGTGCTCCCTAATTTTTACTGGTGACATATTTTGGGCTATCGGCTCTACACTAAATGTTTTCCTGTAGAGTCATTTAGTGCCTTTGAATCTTCTCTTTACAGCCTTAATAATGACGTTTGGCTGCTGGTTGCATTCCATAAATAAATGATTGGAGCATTGCAAGGCTGTGCGGGGGACGATGCTGGCTGCAGGGCAGGGGATGCTTCTCACCTGTAACCCTGGCCTTAGTGAGCAAGGAGAAGGTGTAAAGCCACGCAGCGTTTGGCACATGCTTTGCAGCCTCTTTGTGATGGAGATCCAGAGAAGGAGAAGACTTATATCCAAAAGCCATGCCAGGAAGCTTTGGCTTTGTGAAACACTTTCAATGTGTAAAGTGACTAATGGAAGAGTAGGCGGCTAAGTATTGCACCTTGCTTTTCCAAAGCATCAAATGTTCCCTTTGGCTTTTCATTGCTAAGGCAGGATTGGGCCTAGGATCTCTCCTGGAAGGTGTCCTGGGAAAAGCAAGTAGCTTATGTAAAAGTTTCATCAATTTTAAGTGACAGTGTTATCTTACTAACAGGACGTTTTAACTGCAGTGCTTCTATGTAAGCCTTTTAGCTTGCCATGTCAGGAGCCGTTCTGCCTTCCTCTGGCTCCCATGGCCAACCTGTTGCTCAGCAGACATTGAGGGGAATGCTCTGAAGGCCAAGTATGGAGAAATGGTAGGAAATTGTCCCATTTGTCACTCCTGTGGCAGGAGGAGTGATGTATGGGGCTGCTGCTGCCCGCCTGGGGCACAGGTGGGATATGGGCTCCTTGGGGACCCTTGTGCCCCTAACCCAGAGTGCAGAAGGGACCAGCACTGGGGCTGAAATGATGATTATTATTGCACAGTGCCATAATAAATATAATTTCTAGTGGTTAAGCTAGACCATAGGACTTACCTGTCTTCCTTACAAAAATATACTGGTTTGGTGGTGGTGTTGAAAGTTGGATTTCATGATCTCCGAGGTCTTTTCCAACCTTAATGATTCTATGATTCCATGATACAGTAGCACAGGGTAAGGCTGCACAGTCATAGAGAGAATATCACCATTATAAAGTAGGGGATGGGGTGTTCACTGGCATGCACAAAGGAACCACCATCTTCAGAGACAGGCTGCCTTGTTGGAGAAAGTCTTGTGGAAAGTGGGGAGCATACATAGGAGCAATGTGATGCCCCAAGGGCACCGTGCTGCTCCTGGCTGCTCCTTGGAGAACTGCCTTCATCTGTAATAAGAGGCAGAGGCTGTAATAAGCAGAGCTGACCATATGCTGAGATGGATCTGGTATAAAGGGGAAAAGCCATAGACATGCAGGGTGCAGATGGGATGAGCGCTGAGTGTGGATTTATAGGCAAAGAGTAACTAGGAACATAGGGAAATGCTTTCCCTTTCTCCATAAACTTTTCAATTTCAGAGAGACGAGATTCAATAAAATTATCTTGCAGATGGAAGTTTTATTGAATCTGGCCCATAAAACTCCCATTATGGGGTTTACAACTGCCATTTACACAAATCCTGCTATAATAAAATACAGTGGTATTTACAGCATTCCTGCAACTGCCACAGAATTACAGCACGCACAAAACCCACCCAGTAAATCTTGGCTTAATTCACTGACAACAGAAAGCAGCAAAACTTGGGAGGAAAAAAAAAAAAAAGCAGAGCTGGGAGAGAGGTTGTTTGGGTGAGAGGAGTTATGCTGCTTGGCCAGAATTCCCTGGAGAAAGGATTCATGGTCCTTGCCCTGCAAGGCACGATGTAAAGGTGCTTCCAAGCAGTGCTGTGCGGTGCCCAGCTGCAGGGACCAGTGATGTGATTGCAGCCAGAGCAGGGAGCCAGGCTGGGGATGGGTTGGCTATAAAAACTTCCAGCTGGCTCCTTACTGCTTTCCCACCTGCTGCCTGGGTGCCTGCAGCGTGGCGTGTGCTGAGCAAGGATAGAAAGTGGTGGGCAGCCCTGGTGAGATGTGGCTGGAGAGGGAGCAGGCTGAGGGTTTGCTGGGTGTGGAAGCATCTGGAAAGCCTCTGGCTGAGAGCTGAGTATGGGGCTCAAGGTGGGTAAAGCTGGATCTGAGGCAGCAGCCTGAGCTGAATTTTGGGGGCTGGCTCCTTGGCCGTTGTGTCGCAGGCTTGTGTTAATTCCCAACCCTTCATTACTTGCATGACTTGTGTGTCTTCCCCCTCCTTGTCCCTGTTCTGAGAGCTGCAGTTGGCAGGTGATGCTGTTCATTTATGGCAGGTTTATCTCACACTGCAGTCCTTCACTCCCCCCTTTATTTTTTGCAAGCCATTAATCTTTGTGGCTCCCAACACATCTGTAAAACACCTGCATTTGCAACTCCATTAATTAGGCCAGAATGCAGGTCAGCCCTAATCTCTCCGGCGCTCCTTAATATATTGTTTTCTGACATTGCCTGACAAATTAAGCTGAGATGATTAATAGTGATTTTCAGTGCTGTTGCACATGTAAAGGCAGAACAACTTCGAGGAAACGTCTCATTTAGGATTAAGGAGTGCTGTTCAAGATTGTTATGAGCATTTATTTCAAATTAACCAGCAAGCCAATTCATGGGAAAGTTCAGCTTTTTTTTTGGTCAGAGCCCAGTATAAGGAATTGAGTCAGTCACTATTTCTATCAACTTGCCTTATTGTTAGGCTCCTAAATCCCTTTGCAAATCTGCCTGTAAGCGATGTGCGATGGGCAAGAGGGGAGCCCAGATTAACAGCACATTTCAGTGGAGCCTCGTGCAGCAGGGATGGATCTACTTACTTTTTTTTTTTTGGCATTTCCATGTTGCCTTTAGTGAGTCATTCAGCCCCTCGTTTTGCCATTAGATTTGCTTGCTATATGACTTTTTCCAGTGTCCAAATACAAGTTTTTTTCTTCTAGGTGCACACAGCCTGTTTTCTTTGGGTTCTTGGCTTTTAGTTTATTCAGTTGTGATTTGGGTTGTAAGTTTACTTGTCACTTCCCATATCTGCCTCTCTTCAGATCTAAGCTGCTAAAGTGGGTGGAGTAATTTTACACCTATTGTGCTGCAGTAGGAGCAACATTGAGCCTGGTCTTTGATTTAGATTACAACTGCACCAGTAAGGCTTTCCCCACTTTTGTTCTGGTATTTCCAAGGCAGGCAATGTCATTGAAGTTCCCTGTGTCTGAACACCTGACACAAATACAAATGCTGATGTGTCTGTGGCCCTCTCCATCCCTCCAACCCCCTTCTCCTGGAATGTGAAGATGTGATATGGGTTTGTGCCAGAAAGAACCTAAATTTTGTCTTCCTATGCAGTTTGCTTAAGTTTATCCTATGTCTTACTTTTTTTTTCTGTTTTGCAAAGTGTTGGTTAATTGCCCCACTGTATTCATCTTGGGTTATGGTATAAATTTAAGATAAATAATGAAAAAAAGATCTTTTTTCTTCCCAGATCTTATATAAAATGGAAAAAGGGTGGTGTGATGCTGTGTTTTGTCATGTGATGGGTTGATAGCTGCATGGACTGCCTTGGTCTACTATTGCTACCCTTGTCTGCTCCTTACAAATATTTCTGCCAGTGTTTTATTTGTGCAAGGACTGCCTCATTATGCTCAGTCAATATTCATCCTTCCCTTCCAACCCGAGCTTGCCCATCAGTTGGGTGATTTAAATAGCTGCCTGCGCTGTGAATCCCAAGTGGGCTCTGAGACATGGGGGGGGGGGAGGGCTGAAATGCTTGACACAGACAAATGGTGATGGTTCTGTCTATGTGAAGCAACGAGGCTTCAAATCTTCTGGTTCCCTATATTGACATTTGGGAACGGTGCAGGAGTAATGTATGGCAATGCTTTGAGTGCGTGGAGTGATGGATAACCTGACCCGAGGGGACTGGTGCTGCTGTTGCACAGATCTGCTCGTGGTGTGGGTGCTGAAACGAAATAAAATTAAAATGTTGTTTGTTTTTGACAGCTTTTTGCAATCTTTGCATTTGCAACATGCGGTGGGTACTCTGGAGGACTGCGCCTCAGTGTGGACTGTGCAAACAAGTCAGAGAGTGACCTCAACATTGACATAGCCTTTGCCTACCCGTTCAGGTAATGCATTTTGGTTCATGGTGATTGGTTTGCAGCAGGTGCACGGGGTCTGGTGGGAAACCCCCACTGAAAATGGGTTTCCAGTCACTTGGAACAGCTTCTGATGAAGCAGCAGCTCCTGGGGCTCCTGAATTCTGCTCACAACACGGGTTGGACTCTGGAAGGGAAAGAGGAATAAAATTGTCTGGATCTGATGTGGATGGGGCTGTGGGAACCGTGGGGAAACTGGAGCTCAGCGCAGAGCAGCTGTGGGCATGCAGAACCCCATAAGGGCCAGGACAGCTCAGGGAGCCATGAACTGCAGTGTGGCCACTAATTAAGCTGGAAATAAGGGCAAATTTAATGGTAGTTCTGAAATTCCTTTGAAAATTGTACTGATTGCCTGTCTGCATTTCTCAGTGCATGAATTGTTTAAGTGCTGGACCACTGGTGACTTAGGAGAGCCACAGTGAAGTTAAAAATACACATTAAATGCTCCTGCAATGTAAGATCCTGCTTCAGAAGAACACCCACAGTCTTCTGTTTTTAAAGATGCCAGGTCGACTCCAGAAACCTTTCCCTTCTGAATAAATGATATCTTCAAGGAATTGAGATGATTAAGGAAAGAATACATAATCCAGTCTCAAGCCCAGTATAGCATGACTGAAATTATTTTGCTTCCTTGGGAAATTGCGTGCTGTTTTGCTTATGATTGCTATGCACAGACCAGATGTAATAGCATCTATTACTTTAACTTGTTCTAAAATGAAGCATTTTCCAAACAGTGGAAACTAAATTTGATTCCTTGAACTATTGTTGACACTTGACACACATTTATTACTCCAGAAGTCCCATTTCCTGCTATTACAAATGTTTATGTTTTTGTCTTGTACTTCTCTGTTTTCTTTCATTTCTGCTTAGTATGCATGAGATGGATGCTGAAAATTGAGTTACATGAATTTGTAATGCGATTCACTTCCAAATAGGTCATTTCTCCAGCATTCATTATAGAATACACCCTACAGTAAAGTGGTTTTAATTTACATGATTATTAAGTAGCACTTTATGTGAAAAGTTAATAAAACTTAGAAGAGTAGTCAGCAAGTATTTCTTAATGTTGTATCAGGTACGTTGACCATTGTTTGTAGAGGGAAGAGACCAGAGCTGCAATTTCCTGGTCTTGCTTATTAGGAAACCAGAAGCATTGCTGAGTAATTGCAGCATGTGCTGCAAACCTGGAGGTATTTGCAGAAGGGATCCAGCTGGGATTGCAGCTGTAGGTGGCCCTTGAACTGCTGGTGTGGCTCAGCTGTGGCTGGTGTGGTGTGAGCATAGATGTATGATCATAGGCTCATGGAATGGCTTAGCTTGGAGCGGACCCTAAATATCACTTAGTTCTGACCCCATGCTGTGGGTTGGTTGCTACTCACCAGATCAGGCTTCCCAGAGCTCCATCCAATCTGGTCTTGAGCACCCCCAAAGGTGGGGCAATGATGGAGATGTATGGCATGTACGGTTGGATGGTGTGAATATACTTGCGATCTGTGATTGAGAAGGAAGATACTTTTATGATTTCTTCATGAATTTGATCTTTCTACTCTTTTCCAGTGCTCCTTTCACTGATTGAAGAGGGGATGCTCTGAATGCAGAAGTGTCCTCGGTTGGGAAAGGCAGTGTCTCTTGTCAGAGCAGTTGATGCCCTTGGCAAAAAGCAGACAGGCTTTAAGATCAGCCTCCCTCATCAGGACTGTGATCCTGAAGCCTGTCTTCCTGCGTGGACACACAGGCTTTGTGTAGGTTTGATGAATTTCCCACAGTTGTCTGAATCAGTCTGTGTTCACGTGGCAGTTCCCTTTGCAATGCCTTCAGTTCTCTGGTTACTGGCTGACAACTGGAGCAGGTGTGGGAGGAAGAAGGGATGTGCTGAGCAGCTGACATGGCCATGCTGTCACAGCAGTCAGCAGTGCCACTGAAGCAGCCAAATACCTGAGTGCTGCTTTTAGAGCTGCACCTTCCAGCAGGGCTGGTGATGTGGAGGGGCATCCAGCTGTATGAGCAGCTGCTCTCTTTCAATTGCTGTGAGTGTGAGGATATTGGTTTCCTTCTCCTAGGATGTGCACAGCCAGACCTTGGCTAGCTGGTAGGTAAGTGCTGGAAGCCTTAAGCAAGTAAACATCAACATGTAGGGCTCAACAGGACAGCTTAGCAAGTTTCCACTATATGGCATGGATGGATTTGGAGAAATCATTGGTTCCAGCAGACAGGGAGCTTGGAAGGATTCAGAAGAGCATTGTGGCAAAGTGTCTGTACTGAAGATTTTTGCTACATAAAGCTTCATGTCACGTGCTTAACATGGTTAGGGTAAGCATGTGCACACGTGCTGGGAGGGCTGAGCATATAGGCCAGTGAGACAGAGTGGTGCTGCTTATAGAAAAGCTTGATGAAGTGAGATGCCCGTCCGTGCCTTTGCTCTGCAGCACTGAGCAAAACAAATGCTGCTTTGCCTTTTATTTTAAATCGCCAGTTATATTTCCAGCATGCTACTAAAGCTGTCTCTGGAAGTAATCCCTATGTCTGAAGGAAAAGGAGATTGTGTTTTGTGAAAGCTTTTCATTCACTCTCTGAGAATCTCATTTGAAGAAAGATACTTCCATTGAGTACCCTTTAAAGTGTGCACTTCATCTGCATGCAGTGGGCAGGCTTGTCCTTCTTCTGAAATATGACAACCAGACCCAAATTGCCTACTTAGAAGCTACAGATGATTATTAAGGAGAAAGTAGCTAACTCTGTGCTTTGCAGCAATCTTTCTTTGGAAAAAGCCCCTGTTAATATTAGCACGCTTCTTTGCCACAATGTACCAGTCTTCAATTTTCTTTACCCACTTGTAGTAAATCTGGCTTCAGAATTCAATGAAAAGCATTTTCACTAAAAGATTAAACATCTGTTTCAGCTGGGAAGTGAGGAGCTGCTGATCATTAGGATGAATAGGACTCCTGCCTTCTGGGAGACGTTTGGAGAGGGCTTCCATACCTGTTAGGTAGCACAGGCATTGTGGTCTTGAGTATGTTTGACATTTCAGGGACTGCATTGCCAGTGTAGGGTGGGAAACAGGAAGGGATAAAGTCATCTCACTTCCTATTTCATTTTGCATGTGTTCAATACACAAAAGAAGCTCCTGCAAAACCAAGTGAGGCTTCCTATCACTTCTGCTAGCTTGCTTTTCTACCATCTACCCACGGAAGTTGCACCAGCTTTAGGTGAGCTGAGTGCCAAAATGCAGATGCACTGGTTTCCAGGTGGGTTTAGTTGAGCTCCCAGGGAGCAGATCAGAGTTGGTTCAACTGTGCGTGACCCATTGCAACCTGGAATGGAGCAGTCTCCTTTCTTCAGCTCCTGGTAGCCCTGGAAAGCTGTGTGCCTTTAGCACAAATGAGCTGAGGGGATTATCAAGTGTAGTTCACCAGCTAGGAGGCTGAGCAGCACAACTGCAGTGGTCCCTTCTGACTCTGCAGTCGATCCATCCATGAACACTGCATTAACTGAGCTGTTTAAGGAATGGCCTGGCTTGTGGATCCCTGGTAGTCAAGCATGCAAGACCTTGAACAGGTGTTTACAGGGGAGCAGGTCCATAATCAGGCTGAGCACTGAACTCTCCCAGGTGAATCTTGGCTTTGTTAGAGCTGCTTGCTTTTACATTGTCTGCCTGCCCTGGGAAAAGGTGATCCAGGTGTATTCAACAAATACATTTCTCTTCAGCTTTCAATGAATTTTTAATAGGGAATTCAGAGAAGGAAAGTGGAAGCAACTTTCTGGAGGTGTCTGCTGCAGAAGCAGGAGAATGGCGCTGCTTAAATCTTCATTAAGTCGTAGAAGCTTTTATTTTGGCACACAAAGCAATTGGAGTCTTGATGAATGTGGATGGTATTGATCCAGACTGGCTTATTTGGCTTCATAGATGCTGTATTTTATGCTTACACTGTTTTGGTGTCAGAAAAATTCTTTAATACCTCAACCATAATTTGATCTTAAAGTGGAAGTCACTCTTTGATTTCTTAATATATGCAGCTTCTTCCCAATTTGAATTTTTAATATATATTCATGAATAGTCTCTACAGCATTGTATGGTGATGGCATTTTATCTGTGCATGTCACAAAGGCCTTTTCTGTAAGCCAGGCTTTTTACAATTTCCCTTACAATTTTCTTTTTGCCCATTTTCACGCTGCCAGTGCAGAAGCAACCAAAGTAGAAACCCTTTGGCTCTGCTTTGTTTGCCATCTGATCCCATGCCCCACGTGGCAGCCATCAAACGCACCTCCTTCCCCTGCTCCCAAATCTGCATGCGCTGTGCAGCAGCCCTGAAGGTTTACCTGGGACTGTAGGGTCCCTCAGAAAAGTGCTTGGAATGGAAATGCCTTGGCTGGGAGTTCTGTTGGAGACGTGCTGTAAAACTCTGCAGAGGAATGAATTTGATTGTCCCAAGTGCCGTAGGATAACATGCTTGGGAAAATTATAGTTAAAATACTGTGTTGATGTGAAAATACAATACAAAGGAATGAATGCTGCTGCTGCTTCTCTTGTAATTGCTCTTGTATGTGTATTTATCTCAGCTGGCCCTGAAGATGAAACTTGTGCTTTCAGGACTTACAGACATAGATTAAACTGTACGTGAACCTTACTTCTCATAAGGCAAAGGGCAGCAGCAGAGTGTCTTGGCTCCTGTTGCTCCACAGGAATACCCACAGGGTTGGTGCACCCCCTGCCCACGAATCATCAGATCTGCAACCCTACCAGTCTGTGCCACAAAACCCAATGTGAAGAGATGTTTGGGTTGGCACAGTCTGGTGGAGGATGTCTGAGTGCTGTTTGCATGGGAAGGAGAAGTGTGTGCTTGAGGAGAGCTGTGAAAGTATCTCGGGAAATAAATCTGGGTCTGGATGTAGGCTTGGAATTGGGGCTGGGATCACCCACTCAGCGTTGTGAGTACTCGCAGCAGCGTGTGTTCTATAATGAGACACTTTAT